CAAGCCAGCCAAATAAAAATTATAACAATCCAATCCTTTGCATTTATATAATCTCTTTCATCAGAAGATCTCAAGATGCCTTACCAACAATAATGAATTTACTTTGGAATTTTTGCTAAAGGCAAAAACAAAATAGAAACACCCACCCTCTCTCCACTTCCTGCTGTGACTCCGTTTAGCCAGAGATTGTATTTCTGTGTGAAATTTTATCTTTAAAAATTATTTGTTATTTCATTTTGCTTTTTGAAACTGCAATAACACAGCCCTGTGAAATACAAATTCTTCTGTTGGGAAGTTGACCTTAAGTGGCATGGGTGATCTGCCTGATTTCATGGGCAAAGGTCAACTGCTCAGAGACCACAGAACACCTTTTGACTTCTGGGACAAAAATTTACAATGAACTCTGAATGACTCTGCCTTAGTCAGTATCAAAAGATTTGTGCATATTCAGATACAGCAAAATGTTTCTGTTGCTGGCACAGAGGTGCCCGAGGCAAAGCAACAGGGGTTCGTTGCCCGGCGTGCTTCGCGCCAATAAACACACCGGGGTGGAGAAACAATCAAAGGTTTATTTGAGATCTCAAAGTGGTGCAAGGAGACAGGCAAATCTCAAATCGAGCACACAGAACAAAGCAGCTTCTCTCTTCTTATACTTTACAATTAAGCCCCCCCTTCTCTCCTCCTGTATCACCCCCCCCACTCCCCCTCCCCTTTCTACCGAAGACATGTCTATACATTTAAGCCGTTAAATCATTCTAGGGCTATAAATCTAGCTTGTTAGTAACATTCCTCTAAACAATCATTGGGTCCTATTTACTCTAGTTTACTACCCCTCCTCCAGCTAGAAACATGCAAACCTCATCATTATTGCTTAGGACCTGGTTATAAGCAAGGTCGTAATAGGTAACTGACTATTTACACATTCCAATTTCTGTCCTTGGCTTTTGAGGCCACTTAAAGTTAAACATGGAAGAACAGAGTTTAAACATGGAAGAACTCTGGTTCATATATAGGCCTAATGACGCCATCATTTCCATCTATGGCAAAAGTTTGTAGAACACAAAAGGTTTTACACCATTAGGTTCCAATCCTCCTCTGGGGAGCACATGGGTGAGTTGTTGCTGCAAGCAGAGTCCCGTTGACATTGATGCAGCTCTGTGTAGGCACAGCAATCCAACATACATTACACACTGCATGATCAGAGCCCCGGTTTCCTGTCTCTGACCATAGCCAGTAGCAGATGTTTCAGAGGAATGCTTACAAACCCTGCAGTAGGCAGATGTGGGGAAATCTGCCCCACATGGGTGTCATCCTTTTCTCTATTAGTTAGAGACTGGCTTAAGCCCTGAAATACAAGGATGAATATCCCTTCCCAATTTTTCTTGTCATTAAATATAACTCTGGGTATTCTTGATATCCATATAAATGTCCAATCTCAGTTTCACTATTGTGAAGTTCTTGGCCTCAGTCAGGGCTGTAACTAGGGTGACGCGAAAGGGGCAGCCACTCAGGGCGCAGAACAGGGGGACACAAAAGTGGGCGGCACAGGATTGGACCCAGCAGCATCAGTGCCCTCCCACCCCCTAGGATTGGGCCCAGCAGAGTCAGCTGGAGCCCAGAGTGCTCAGTGTCCTCCCACCCCACAGGATCATAGGTCCAGCGACCCCAGCCAGAGAAGGCTTTCCCTGGCACTAGGACCGCAGCAGCAGGTGGGCAGGGATCTGAGTGCCGGCTGGTAGGAAGGGCAGAAGGAGAATGGGCTGCATGGCTGGTTCCATCCAGCCGCTGGAGATAGGAGACTAGCTGCACTAAGAACCTGGAGGGTGCTGCATGGGGTAGGGGTGCAGAGGGCTAGGGCCATGAAGGCGTGTAGGGTTAGGGCAGAAGGGGACACAGGAAGGGAGTGTAGGGGTGAAGAGAGAAGGGCGTGCAGGTGGAGAGTACAGGGTAAAGGGAGAAGGGGGTGCAGGAGGGGAGTGCAAGGTTGGAGAGAAGGGGTACACAAGCATCAGCATAGGCACTAAGAGGATAAGAGGTACACAAGTGGGGCCGTATGATGGAGCATACTTAAAATGTGCTAGGTGCTGTACGGATCTGTGCCATGAGGAACTGTGTGGGCGATTAGCTCAGGATGGAGCTGTTGCCTTCCCCAGACCCGTTGTCTGGCCATGCGCTACTGGCTCTGCTCATGCTCCCTAACCTGTGTGCAGGGTTGAGCCCTGGCAGAGCAGTATCGCCAGCCTGGGGCCTAGGGGAGAGAGGGCATCTGGAGTTAAAGCTCTCATTAAAGTTGCTAATCACCAGTTGTACCTACTAGAGGGTGCTTGGAATTTAAACAGACTCATCCTTGGCCAGGGTTTCTCTGTTGACGAGCCAGTGTGCTGAGTTGCACAGCCATGGCCCTTGGGAAGCCTGGCTGAACATCGCACTGACATACACCCACAGGGCACTGCTCAGGCCACTCACAGGGTCGGTGCCATCCTGAGGCCTTTGCTGCACATAGGGCTGACCTCTGTCACTTGGCTGCTGACAAACCTTTGACCCTGACGCAACTGCATGGTGTGGCAAGGAGGAAAGGCCTGCTAGAGCACCCCATGGAGGCAAGCGCCTCCTGGCACTCACGTGCACTCAGCTCCATGGAACTGGGGAGTCCCAGGCTGGAATTCCAGCTGAGGCACCTGGAGACAAAAAATTTTTCACAACTGCAATGATGGCCCCTGTCACTCACACATGGATTTCAAATTACAGTGGCCAGCTTTTTTTGACCCTCTTCTGTAACAACCTTTTCACTGCATTGAACAGCTCAATGGGCGGGTGAAGGAGTAACTCAGGGAGGTACTGCTCTGTTGTGACAGTCCCACAGCCCGCTGGAACTGCCAGGTGCCACTGTGCTTCACACAATAGCCTTAGAGAGCTTCACAGCTCCAGCTGGGGCAGAACCCCTGTCGTACAGGGTCCTTATGCCTGAGCTAATGGAGAGTCTCTGTTAGCAGTGTGGGGCCCATGACAGCCAGGGGAACCACGAGAGTTACATGGTGCACATAGACACCAGCCTGTTCATTACACACTTGCCTAGATAGACTAAGCTTGCCTCAGAACCAGCTGTTCAGATCTTATATCTGACATCAGTGTAAGAAATCTCCAAGTGCTTCCACCCTGTAACTTCCACCATCTTTGCTCAGGCTTGTCTGTGATGGGATCTTGGGACCTGTCATTCCCAAATCCAGAATTCTCCACCGAGAGCAACAGGTCCCCCAGTGACTGCAGCACCCTCTCCTCATATAGGTCACACCCCGCTCACCACCTGAGGACCTCATATTTATCCTGGCCATGGGGATTGAAATGGACTCATCCTATTCCCAAAGTACAGGCTCCTCACCACCACCAACTGAGCTGAAAGAGGTTCTTAATGATTTAATGGCAGTACATAGCCGAACAGTTCTGACTCTACCTCAAAGTTTGAGATTGGGAATATTCTGCTATAATATCTCCTGATTGTTCTAAATTTACATATAAATTTAAAATATGGCTTTAATTGGAGTTTCTATATATTTTTTCTTTCTTTATATAGGAATTAGATACAGTGCTCCTGTCAGCTAATTTCTAAGTTATTATCTGCAAAAAAAAACTAGAGTTTTCAGGTGTTTAGTAGTCCCTGGAATCACAGTTAAAGTTGCCCCTGCCCCAATCTGAAATAGTGCCCGTGCCCAGCCGTGGGGATGGGGAGAAGGCCACAGGGAGGTGCTGACCTATGGCTGGCGCTGTGACCCGGGCCTGTGCCAGCCACCCATCCACTGTGACAGGGAACGACACCGCCCCCCATCTCCAGTGGGTACCCCCCGCAGCAGGTACCCCTTCCAGTCCCCCCACCCCACTATACCTCCCCTCCAGCTCCCCCTCTCCATGGCAGTGGCCTCTATTTGGGAACTTGAATTGTGGTAACCCTAGCAATCGCTCCACTCTCACGCCGTCAGTTTGTGGAGCTGGCGGAACTGAGTCTGCCCTGCCAGCAGCAGCTGCCCACCACCAAGTCCTGGGCTGGGCACCAGACTCATGTGGCCAAGCTCAGAGCTCAGGCAGTGCAACCGCAAGCCCGGCAGCCACGGGGGTGGGGCAGGGCAGCCTAGGGGAGCAAGGGGATCTGCTCTGTATGCAGGGAGTGTGGGGAGAGTGACCCAGCTGCAATGGCAGGTGCCCAGGCAATGAGTGAGGTGTGACCAGGCTGCTGAGACACAGGTGCCCAAGGGAGATGAATAAGGCAGGGAGCACCTCGTGGAGCATCTCATGGCAGCCAGACTCCACGGGCAAGGGCCAACTCCAGGGTGCGTCACTGGCTGGAGCTGGGCTCCTTTGAGGGAGAGGCAAGAGCGTGTCAGAAGCACAGCTTAGAGCTGTGCCGCCTGCCCTGCCTGGGGAGTGCCCAGCCGTGCAGAGGCAGCTGGCTTGGGGAGCACGGCAGGGAGGGCTGCTTGATAGCCAGCCAGTGCCCTGACTCCCACAGCATGAAGAGCCAGGGGCTTGAGCAGGCCAGGTGGCTTCTGCCAGCTTTTGATCTTCCGGCTCTTGGCAGGAGGTGATGATTTTCAAACTGTGGGGATGCGTCCCCCTAGCACCCCACAGTTTGAAACCCTCTATGTTAAATGGAAGGCAGAAATCTGGGGGGCATGTGACCCTGCATGCCCCCCCACTCATCACCTCCAAGGAGCGCAAATATCCTTGCTCACCCTGAATGCTAAAATGTTTAGTTAGGGCTCTGGCCTCAGTGACTTCTTACAGCAGTGGGTTCCAGAGTTTAATCACCTCCTGTGTGGAAAAAGTATTTCCTTTTATAGGATTTTAATTTCCCACGTAGTTTCATTGGACGTCCTCTTGTTCTTGTGTTATTCTAGTTTCTAGTCACTCAACACCAGTTCGGGCAACAATTTTGAGATATAATTAAACATTGCTTTTTAAACTCTAGTCAGATATGTGCACTGATATCTCCATACATTTCTTTGCAGATTACACTGACATTTTCAGCAGTTTTTGGTGTGACCGTGTACCGAATTACTACAGCAGCCGTCTTGTCCATCAGCAAAAATGAGTCAACCAGGTCGAACGTCCGTGTGACCGTGACTGCAACCGCTGTCATCATTAACCTGGTTGTGATCCTTATATTAGATGAGATTTATGGAGCTGTTGCCAAATGGCTGACAGAAATGGGTAAAGCTATCCTAGCCCTCATTACAACTTTGTATGTATTTCTAACAGAGTATGCAGGAAAGTTCTAAAAGGAGGATTTCCCGTAAAACAGTTCCATAAAGAGGAAACATTCAGGCCCAGAGGGTAAAAATGTGCCCAAGTGACTAAGGGGTCCCAACTCCAATTTTCAAAAATGACTTAGGGCCAGATTTTAAAGCATATTTAGGTGTCTAAATACTTTTCAAAATCTGACCTTAGACACAGAGGAGCCTACGTCTCATTGAAAATCAGTTGGACTTTGGCCTTGTCTGCATTATAAAGAACACCAGTAGAGCTATAGTGGCAATCCCTCCTAGTGGAGAGTTCCTTTACTGGTACAGTTTATTCCAGTTCCCCAAACAAAATAAACCATACTGGCAAAAGGACTCTGTGCCTCGGTTTCCTCAATTATAAAATTTGAATAATGGGTCAGATCCTCAACTGGTGAATGTCAATGTAGCCCCATTAAAGTCAAGGATCTCAGGAGAAACTCTCTGCCCCTACCGCGGCCCTGGGGCTGGAGGAGTTCTATGCTCCTGCCGCCGCCACAGGGCTCGAGGTGTCAGCCGCTGGCCCCGGTGGCAGGGCTCTTTCACTATAACGACCCCCTGGCTATAACAAATAAATAGTTTCGATCCCCAGGGGTTCATTGTAGAGAGGGTGTACTGTACTATTATAAATAGCATCATTATTTACACTTCTGATAGCATACTAGCATAACAGAGGTCCAGTCATAAATGGTTGAGATACAGTAGAATGATTTCTACTGTTAGGGATAGCCCAATTGTTTCAATTTGATTCCAATGAAGATTTAAAATAAAAAGAGACCAGTAATACATTTAATATAATGCCACCCTATTATATTTTCTCTCCCCTTTTGCAGAGAGTCTCTTGGCAAAAAGTAGCCCTGGTGCAAATGGGCACAATTCCATTAAGTTCAGTGGAGATGTACCCACTGATGCCAGTTGTGCATTTGGCTTTCAGAGCTGTATGGGAAACAAAGATGAAAAATACAGTCAGTTTTTTAGCTTTCATATAAAATATCCCTCTGTTATTCCCCCCAACCTTCAAGTCACCTTTAGAGCCAGCCCTGCTGCCCTTACTCCAACAACACTCCTATTAAAGTAACTGGGTGTTTTGCCTGAGAGGGGACCCACTATGGACTCTAGACTTTGGTCCTTTTTGAATAATTTCTAGCACCACAAATTACATCATGGTTCATTCAGATGGCTGTCTGCATTAGTAGGCTCAGATGCCAACTGTAATTAAAAATGTTTAAAAAATTACAATTCATTCATGCTGATAAATGCTTCTTACCTTGTGAACTTTCATATTGCTGAGCTGAGCAAAATGGGTGCAATTTTCTTTTCACACTGCAATTCAGAGACGTGTCTGGCATCATGCTGCATTTTTCCACATTAAGGGGCAAATTTGCCTGCCCTGGTGTAGAAGCAGTGGCGTGTGCAAGGATACCCTTTCCATCCCTAAGCTCATTTGGGCTGCAGTTCAGCAAGGGAGTTACGAATGTGAGTAACTTTGAGCACCTGAGTAGTACCATGGAAATCAATGAGATTAGTTTCATGCTTAGTTATGCATGTGTTTAAATATCTGGCTGAATCAGTGCTTAGGGCAGGAGGCAGGAATAACATCGCCCACAGGCACTGTGAAGGGCTAGAAGGCGAATCACTAGGTCTACATGCAGTGCTTGTGGCCTCAGCAGGGGAATATCTGTGCAATGCAAAGGAAGGACATTGACTCCCCCGCAGTACCGGCAGGAGTGCAGATTACACCTCTTTCAAAGAGTCATGTTTCCTGATGCTGAGCAAGTCACCCTATCCCCAGCACCCAGGTGGCATTGGGCCTAATTCAGATCTTATGTGTGTTGGTGTAAATTGGGGTATCTCCCCTCAAGTCATGGGAAAACAAATGAAGTGCAAAACAGTGGTAAAGTGAGAGCAGAATCACTCCTGTTCATGCGTTAAAGGGGCATATTCCCTCCCTCAGTGCACTTCCTCAGCCCAGCCTCCATGTAGCACTACCTGCAAGGAGCATAATTCAGGTCTGGGGTTTTGGTGGTATGTATTGAGGACACAGCTGGATATTTTAAGTTGTATATTTTTAAACGCCCTCCTTTTCTTTTATTCATTCATCCATTCTATTCCTGTTCTGGCTGTATGCATTCTTGTCTTGAAAGAAAGAGGGAAGGGCGACAGGGGATAGATCACTTGATGATTACCTGTTATGTTCATTCCCTCTGGGGCACCTGGCATTGGCCACTGTAGGAAGACAGGATACTGGGCTAGATGGACCTTTGGTCTGACCCAGTATGGCCGTTCTTATGTGTGTCAGGGGGGTGCACATTGCCTTCTTGGGACAGCTCATCTCTGTGGGAGTCCTCTGTGAGGCAGGGGTTCTACTCCTACATGGAACTTCCTATCCCCTCCAAGGGCTGAATTGTTGCCATGGGGTTATTCCTTCCACTGGTCCCCATGCAAATCTGCTCAGCACATAGGCTCATATTTGGGCTGTGCAGTGCTAGCTGGATTGGCCCCAAATGAATAATTTTTAATGAAGTATTTCCATAAAGTCAGCTGGTTTGTGTGAGTGAATAATCTAAGGGCCAGAACGTCAAGAGCTCATTTTGCTGGGTGCTAAGCTGTGACAAAAATCTGGCCACAAGTGTCACAATGCTAGGCGCTTTTAATAATCTGGTTCTTATTTAGTATTTTAATGAGAGCTGAGCTCTTTTTTAAAAAACCTGACCCAAATCAGTAGGCTGCGCGATTTCAGTAATGCTTCCAGAGGCTTCTTGAAACCGATGCACTGAATCGCTCTCATTATTTCACATTTTGAATCCATTACCAGCATGAAATAATAACAACAATCTGTTCGGTGCCTGGTTAAACATGCATGGTGGCTATCCTCAGAAGTCCTGTGCATGGCTGATAAAAGAACCCAGAGAGAATATTGAAAAAAAAAATCTTTGTTTTTATGTTAATGTAGATTAATTGTAATACTCTGCAGTTTACACTTGAAGGGCTTGATTCTGCAAGGTACTGAAATCAACTGAAATGGATAAACAATTGTGTGTTGTATTTTCAGAAGTTTTACAGACGACGTATCTAAAGGTGTGGAGGGTGTATGGAGAGGGGAAGAACCTTATGGAAAGGATGGCCTTGTGGTTAAAGTTTTGGAGTGGGGAATGGGGCTTAGGACATTTAAGTTCACTTCCTGTCTCCCTCCGCGCCCCCACCAAAAAAAAATGTGTATGACCTTGGGCAAGCTATCTGGAACCTGATTCAGGAAGTTACTTCAGCATGTGCTTTAAACATTTAAGTAGTCCCATTGAAGTCAGTGGAACTACTCACATACTTAAAGTTAAGTAGGTACTTAAATACTTTGCTGAATGAGGCCCTTAAATGTTTGTGCCTCAGTTTCTCCATCTATGAAATGGAAATAGCAATACTTCTCTATTTCAAAGGGTGTTGTAGCATAAATTCATTAAGACCTGATTCACATTTAGACAAGGGTCAGGAGGTAAAAAGGGCCTTACTGTAAATGGAATCAGGCCCCAATTAATTTATCCTTCCAACACCATTAATATTAACAAGGTAGCCACATGTTATAGTGATGGGGGTAATAGGAGTAGAGAGAGATTGGGGCAGATCCTCAACTGTGTAAACCAGCAGAGCTCCCTCCTGAGCATCTGGTTCATTTAACAGTGCAGGTAGGTGCCTCGATATGTGTCACTGCCAAATACACTTTAAATGAAATAATAGTCAGAAATTTGCAGGAGTAAGAAGAAAAAAAGTATGCTGTATATTTTCCTAGTGTCACTCAGTGCAGAATAAAAGATATGATAAAACCACATTAACTCTAATAATAATACAGTTTTTGCTTTTGCTTGAGACTACTGAAAGACAATTACATATTTATCTATTGCTTTTGTGGTGTTTCATGTTATACTGCAATTATTTATTTATTTATTTTGCAGAGGTACCAAAAACAGAGAAGACCTTTGAAGAGAGGTTAATTTTGAAGGCTTTCCTATTGAAGTTTGTGAACTCTTATGCACCAATTTTTTATGTTGCCTTTTTTAAAGGAAGGTAGGATGAATTTACATTGTTGATTTATTATTAATGGCCCCATGTTGCAGGCTACTGATGGCACTAAGGCCATTAAAAGGTCTGGAATGGCCATCTTAGTACCTAAAATGGCAGACTAGCCCAGGAGGGAGTGGGTCAGGTTGGCCTGGAGAGATTGCTCTGGGGTGAGAGGTCCTTAGGTGGACTCGTGATCAGTTTTGCTCCTCTATAGTTGTGGTTTCCTATACATGCAGGATCCACTGCCTACCAGAAACTGATGGTCCATAATGTAGCAGATGGAGATCTTAGAGTGATTGTTTGTAAACAATGTTTTAAGTATGTATGTATTTCTGAATTCTAGTCAGATTCATATCATTGTTGTGCTCCTTTTATGTTTTAGAAGCTGTTAATCTATACGTTAAGCTCTTTGGGGTAGGGACCATCTTTTTGTTCTGTGTTTTATACTTCGCCTAGCACAATGGGGCTCTGGTCCATGACGAGGGCTTCTAGACAATATGGTAATACATATAATACATAATAATATATTCTGAACTAATGCCTGTGGATGCCATCAATTAAAAAAATCACACTTTTGTCTGAAAATATTTTACTTACAATTTTGAGAAGTATTATCTAAGTTCTAAAAGACATGGGAGAAAAATATTTTTTAAACATTGTATTTGACAGCCCTTTGTGAGTAGTCACTTCCAATGTATATATTCAGAATAGTCCAGGTCCTGAAACCCCTTACACATGTAAGTAACTTTGCTCATTAGGACTACTCAAATGCATGAAGTTATTCATGTATAACAGTTTGCAGGATCAGAGCCCCGGTCAATTTTCCCATTTGTTTGTGTGGGTTTTAACCAAGCGAGGGGAAAAAACATTTTTATAAATAGGAAAAGGTGATTTTAAAACTGCAAAAATTGTCAGGGAGACTCAGGGACAGGCACAATATTTGAAACTCGGTTTAGTTAATTTATCTGAAGTTGGCAATATTTTTTTTTTAAAAATCACGTTAAAATAGTTAATTTGAACTGTATTTTAAAATTAGCTACTGTAAGCAGTAATTTTGTTGAGGATAATTTTTAATGCATTCTTTTTTCATCATTTCATATATTTTTATTACTTTCAGGTTTGTTGGCCGACCTGGTAGTTATGTATATATGTTTGATGGTTACCGAATGGAAGAGGCAAGTACAGATGGAATTCAAACAGAAAACATAGTTAAAAAAGAGACATGGATGAGAGTGCCTTTATAAGGAGCCCAGCTAACAGCTGAAAAAAACCTACCACATTTACTTTACCAAAATTCTATGCCTTCCAAGAAAAGAAAAGAAAAACTCAAGACAAAATTCAGTCCCAATAATCTGTGTTTTAGATACTTATATGGCCCCATCATCATAGTATCTGAGTGCCTCACAGTATTGTGATCTATTTATTTTCACAGCAACTCTGTAAGGTAGTACGGTGCTATCATCTCCATTTTACACATGGGGAATTGAGACACAGAGAGATAAAGACCAAGGCGCTGACTTTTAGTTTTCCCTTATGGTGCTCCACCTCCACTCTGCCCTGAGGCCCCACTCCTGCTCTGCCCCTCCCCCGAGGACACACCCTCACTCCACCTCTTCTTACCCCCACTCCAACCCCTCTCCCACCTGCCACTCACTGATCTTTGCCCTTCCCCAAGCACCTCCCCTATCCGACTAAGGAACTGATCGACAGTGCCACTGAACACTGTGGCTGGTGGGTGCTGAGCACTCACTATTTTTTTCCATGGGTGGGTGATTTGCCCATGGTCACACATGAAGTCTGTGGCAGAGCAGTGGCTTGAACCCAATGGCTAGATTTGTGCCCTAACCATTAGACCATCCTTCCCCTCAAAAAGTCTGGGAAAAAATAGTTATGGGATCTTGCCACTTTGTCCTTCTAGCCCCGATTAATGCTGCAAACAAGTTATGCTTCACTTTAAGCAGGTATTGGAAGTCCCTTTAAGTCAATCAAATTAATCCAGTGCTTAAAATAAAGCACACATACAAGTTTGCAAGATCAGGGCCTTTGTTTGTTTGTATCTTTCCAATATGGGGAAAAAAGCAATCAAATGAATACTGTTGGTAATTAAATTAAATGTATAGTAAATATTTTAAAGGAATATACAGTAGTCCCAGAGATCAATATGGTTTTTCAGATTGCCATACATGTTTTCAGAGTGATTTCATTGGTGAAGCACAAATATATGGTTATGAATAGAATTGGAATGATTGATGGATTTGGTGTTCTGAAATGTTTTGATTATATGGTAGTGTGGGTTCATATAAATGTATGTAGTCTTTCCAAGCTTGTACTTTTAAAATATTGTAAGCTTTTTGGTAGTCTTTGTCTTTTCCCCCCCCCCCTGTGGTTGTAAAGCACCTACCACAATGTGGTCCTTGTCCCTGACTGGGGCTCCTAGGTGCTACCGTAATACAAATAAATAATAATAATAATAATTAATAATAATAAATATTGTGTAGCAACTAAAGCATGTGTGTTTTTGTAGTGAGGAACATTATAGTATATATTCGTGACGCAGTCTATTAGAAATGGATCCTTTGAATAGGAAACAATATTTTACAATTTCTTAATAATTCGATATTTTGATCTTTCTATATATTTATGAAAGTTTTAGGGGGGAAAGTTAAGGTTGGATTGTTATTGTAAATTGGTGAATACGAAAGATTATATGGCAGAGGAAACTATCTGGATCCTTCAACTGTTAGTTTCCAGGTCTTTTAATGTTTAGGACAGTGGTTCCGAAACTTGGTTTGCGGCTTGTTCAGGGTAAGCCCCTGGCGGGCCTCGAGACGCTTTGTTTACCTGAGCCCGTCCGTAGGTACGGCCGCTCGCAACTCCCAGTGGCTGTGGTTTGCTGTTCCCGGCCAATGGGAGCTGCAGGAAGCATTAGCCCAGCCCGTGCTGCTTCTCATAGCTCCCATTGGCCGGGAACAGCAAACTGCGGCCACTGGGAGCTGCGAGCGGCCGTACCTGTGGACTCTCAGGTAAACAAAGCGTCTCGCGGCCCACCAGGGGCTTACCCTGAACAAGCGGCGAACCAAGTTTGGGAACCACTGGTTTAGGATCTTTAAAAGGTATATAATTTTTGTTTACTATATCTTTTGGATTCTAATTAGACTTTACTGAAAAAACTTTTTGAAAATTTTGGCTCAGAACTTTAAAAGTCCTTTTCTAGTTCCCTGCCACACACCCCCAGAAAAAAATCCTGGTAAAATTCTACCCCAGGATGAGACCTGACATGAAATTTAAGAGGGATTGGTTTCCTTGGAATTGGCAAAGTTACATGGGGGAATTGAAAATCAGGCTCATAATGCAAAGTTAATTTCAACATTAGTTGTAAAGCAGCAATCACTGCTTCCTCGTGCCTTTGTCATAATTCACTAACAGTTTGTGCTATTCCTTAAATTACAGTGTGCTCCAGGAGGCTGTTTGATGGAACTCTGTATTCAGCTGAGCATCATTATGCTTGGAAAGCAACTTATTCAGAATAATCTGTTTGAAATTGGAATCCCGTATGTATTTCAACCTTTTCCGTTACCATGCACTTTGTTCCTGCAAGATTGTAAATTAAAGGCTTGATCCTTCTTCCACTGAATGGGAGTTTTGCCATTGACTTTAATGAGCCCTAATTGAATATACTTAAGATGATGATAAATCACGCTTCTGGTTGTCGTGAAATGATCTGGCTGTATTTTACCTTAAATAATTGGCTATATCTGCAGTAAATGGATTAAAGAAAATGTCTGAATATATTGAAGAATTGATATAAATTAACTTTAGAAACCTAAGGAAAGTAGGAAAGATATGATAGATCTCTTGGGAAGTTTTAGAGAAGCTTTCAGAGTAGCCGCATTGAATACAAATGGATATGAAATGGGGTTGAGGGAAGCAATGGCTGATATAAGATTTTAAAATGGGTTATTTGAGCTATACTATTTCATGGATTTACACATGAAACCTACATGTTTTTAATGTGCCCTTCACTGAATGGAGAAGATGGTGACATGCTATTAAGCAGCTGTCTTACTATAGTGAGCTTATACATGGAGGCGAATTTTGCATTGTGTTTTGAATGTGGCAAGAACTCTGGCTTAGTGTATCTGCAGTGGCAGGTGTGTCTGCAGCCAAGAGTTATCACTGAGAATGTCTTACTGCTGAATCTTGTGAATTTTACCCTTACTTCTCTCAACTTCATCATCCCTGTTGGTGACAGCATTCTCTGAGGTGTGTGGGGACATTGGTTGTCTTGGATGTGTAGGTACTGTAGGGCTTACTACAGTGTCTGATCCTGCTCCACTGAACTCAGTGTGAGTTTATCCATTGATGTGGATGGGTTCTGGATGAGATCCTTACTGAGGGGTTCTGAAGAAGAAGAGGACTAGAATCTTGATGGGAGATGCACAATGAGGTGGCATTGAAATACATTTGAAAATTGGGCCCTTTTCCCTGGAAATAATTTTTTACTGTTAAAGTGGAAGAAAAAAATATGGACATGGATTATGCATGGCTTTATCCTTCTGAAGTTAAGGTTTACTGAGGAGGCCTGTTTTCTGTCTAAGACTCATGGAGTTTATAGCATAACTTGAGGAAAAAGGTGGTAAATTGCTCCAGAAGACTTTTACATGTTGGAGGCTTAAAGCTTTCTCAGTGTGAACCTGATGTGATTTTTTTATTTCCCTCTTCCAAAAGCTTACTGCTACTGGGTTTGTTTAAGGGGGGACGGTTATGAAGTTATAAATACTGCATTTATTATCTTTGATTCATGGAAGTGGAGACTGATCCAGTCAAAATACAGGGCTACTGTCAGAATATTTCTCAATCCACTGAATGCACTGCTCAGTGCAAGAATGTGACAGCCTCATTCCACTTGTTTCTTCTCCCTCGCCAACAACCTGCAGTGACCTCAGTTTAAAACTGAAATATGTATTAAATAAAAACAAGCTTGCTTTACTTCTCCTCTTCCCAGAGGAATACCACTGCTATCTTGTTATATTGATGCTGACAAGCCTTTTCTGTCTGTTCATAAATTATATGAAGCCACACCCTGTCCCATTCTCACCCAGATTAACTGGAACCTCTCTGCCCCTCCAGCCCAACTCAACTGGCTCCCTTCTGTAGCCTATTACCTCCGTTCCATTCATGGATTTCTTCATTAGAACTGTCTAGGAAGTGGATTTTCTGTGCTGCAAAAATATCAAGATTTCAAAAAAATGAATTAGTCCCAAATTGGGACTAATCTGTTTAAAAAAAATTTTTTTAATTCTCAAAAAAATATATATAGTTGTGAAAAATTTTGGTTTTGTTGAAACAGCTTTTTCCAACCAAAGACTGTTTTGATGAATATTTTCTGACCAGCTCCACTCTTCATGGGTGCTCTCTTCCCTCCCACCCATCTTCCTTGCTAGATCACCCCTTCTCCACCAGAAGGTCTTTCTTTTGTTTCCCCTAACTCTCTCTTCCCTCCATACTGTCCACTGCCCTCATTTCTCTTCTCCTCCTGCACTAGGAATGTTCTGTAGGGACCAATCCTACAGAGGCAGAGAGATGGAATAAATGGTCTAATAGATCTTTCCATCTCTCACTCCAGTGACTTCTGTCCCCTGCTCTGTGCCTGTCTTGAGGAGAAAGAGATCCCAAGAAAACAGTGCTAATTCTCTCACTGGCTCTCAGCACTGCACTCAGGGATAGTGATTGTGCTGCCACTGAGTTCACCCTGGTATTGAATGTAGCAGAAATAACTTTTCTATAGATATTATGAACCATTCTCTAGGCTTCTATAATGGGGACATAATTATCTATTAAATTCTGTGGAAAGATTCATAACACCTATAGAAAGGATTTAATTCCCTATTGAATTCTGTAGGTTTTTGGAGTTATTTCTATATAACTCTATTGGTTTCATTGCTATTAAAGCCCATAGGGGTTTTCCAAAAGGGCAGTGTAGGCTTCTGTTTCCCTGCAAAAGGTTGTGAAGCATCAATCTCATTTGCTGCCTCTTTCATTCAAAGAAACAGGAATAATTTAAGGGCCTGTACAGCTGAGCAGGTTATGGGATGGATACACATGACACCCACCCAGAGCCTTCTCCTTCAACATGAATATTGCCATGGTCAGAAATGCCTGGTTGACATCTTATCCACAGTTAGTGCCGGTTGCAGAATTCAGAAGTTAGGTTTCACATGTCAGCTCTGCTTTGTGCAGAGTCATTAGAACAAATTCTAACCTGTTCCTAATGCTTCTCTGGAGAAACTGCTCCTTGGCTATGATAGATGTGACTTTCTGGTATTCTCTGCCTTCCTGTGATTTGTTTTTCCATTTCTGCATCCAAGAATATCAAAACGGCTGGAGCTATATCATGGCTTTGGAATTATGGGATGCTCAGCAGTCTGGAATTGCAGCAAAGTGCTTTGTGTGGCTGTAATTCACAAGTTTAACAGATGCAACTGTGCCACAATTCACTTAGAGGTGTCACATCCCATAATTCTCTTCTCATGCCACAGAAATTGCTGAAGGGTTTGAGAACCCCGAATTCTTTTGAAACTCCTTTTCACCAATTTTATATTCTCCACCCTCACTGCAAAATTCCATGTGGTTATTTTATTACTCTCTATCCCTAACCTTGTGATAAACGCTTATGGTGAAATCCTGGTCCTACTGACGTCAATAGCAAAATTCCCATTGACCTCAGCGCGGCAAGGATTTCACCCTTAACATACAATATCACTTTCCATCAGTTCTTTCAAAATGCATTTAAATACATTGGATGAGAAAATCAAGGGCCAATAAAATGTATTTCAAGACAGACTTTCATGGCTGTTGTCATTTGTGGTACATTTTGGTTGCTAATAAAGAATTCTTAATGCAGAAATTCATCGACTGTTTATAGCGGGACAGATGCCAATAAATAACAAACACAACCAAAACTCCCGTTGACTTCAGTGGGCGTTCTGAGTGCACAAGGGAGGCTGGATTGGACTGTAAATTTGTGACTGTCTCAGAGATTACAAGTCCTTCCCACACCCCCCCAAAGTTCCCTCCATTTGAGGGAGTGAGCAGATCACAGGAAGCTGACTGTAGCAAATGCAGGACCCTCAGGCCTCCTTCCCCAAAGCAGCAAACATGGTTACACACAAGGGCACAGAAACTTTTAGTCCCCACACTTTCCCACCAGATACAAAGTGCTCAAAATATCTGACCCAGTAGCCTCTCCTCTGTCCATCACTCTAGATGGGGAACAGCAGCAGTAGTTGGCAGGAGCCTTCACAGCCTCCTGACATCAGTAATCCCTCGTCTCTGACACTTGGACTCTGGATTTTTACCCTCTTCTTTCCTGTGTTGTGGTTCATTTTTGGTCTCCATTTTGGCTGTCTCCACTCACCTTTTTCTACAATTCTCCAACAGCTCTGCTTCACTACTAGCTCCATTGGTGGTAGCAGTGGTAGACAGGGCACTAGTGTTTTACCACTTTAATGTTGCTGAGCCCATGTCTAAAATGGCACAGCAGTGAAAACACTGGCAGCTGTTCTGCAATAGCTTTCCCACTGATGGAGCTGCACTGGTGGTTGTGCACTTGAAGACAAAGACTAGTGAAGGCAAGGCCTTTATCCTGCCCCTCTCCTAACTCTGCATCTTTTCAGCCGCCCATTGTTTCTCTTCTCTTCCCTTTACTCACTTCCCTGTCTTAATCCAAAATTTCTTTTCTCTTCCCCACTCTAACAGTCACTGAGCGTCCTCTCCATAAAAATATCCCTAAAGCTATTTTTGTTATCTAAATAAAACAACTATATAATCACATATGTTTGAAAAAGAGACCTGCTACAAACATGCCGTGTGCCTGCCACCACCCTCTTCACTTTACTGTATTCTGTTATCTCTTTACCCCCCTTTTATCTTCAGAGCTTGTGAGCTCTTTAGAGCCAGGACTGTACTGAGTGCCCTTAACTTCCATTTAAGGTGCTCGTTTCCTTGAATCATTGCGTTCTTACTTCTGATAGTAGGAAACAGATAATACTGGCTAGAACCAAGCCTAGTGGGAAAGGATCTGTGCATTCTCTCCTGTTCTGTTCTGCCCCAGCTGTTCAGACCTGACCAGCACTGGACAACTGCAACGCTACAGCTATCTTCTCTAAATCCAGTCTTTCTCCCTAAACAGGTCTGACTTTGATCACCTGCTCATCTCCTTTCATGGGAGCATGGAGCTTCCCTGATTGTGCCTCTTAGGCACAAAGCATCTCAAAGTCCTTCTTGGCCAGTCCATAATCTGGCTCACAGTACACAAGAAGATAAAATAGACCAGATGAACTTTCCTTGCTTCTCCATTGCTTTCAGCTTGATTTTAAAATATTGATCTTTTGAATCATTATAAAAAACATTTCTCACAAGCATACCAAAAGAGTTTATTCAGTTTTAACAGTGCAATCATCTGTGCAGCTATGGAGTTCTGCAAAACTCATTTTTACTCCTCTGCTGTGGTACAGCTGGAGAATAACCCTGACAGTATCTATTCAGTGCA